CTGCCCAGAGGGGTCACAATGACAAAAAGACCCCTCTGCTTTAAAAAGGGCTGGTATGTGTCACAGGATTTACAAAGCACCAACGGGCATTGCAAGGTAACACATACTCAGGAGAACATCACTTTTTACCAACAAAAAGAGTGTACCTCAGGCTTTAGCTTGGTCATCGATTTCCTAGGGCTGTGGGCAAGGCCGTCCCTTGAAGGGTGCAGGGCCCGGGACAAATCAGCCTGTATAGGCCCCCCCTTAAAATTTTTTATACAGGTGCTGAAGTCCCTTTCCAGGTTCTCGTGCCAGGGATGCTCCGGCTCAGAGGGAGCCCAGCTCAGGGTTCAGAGGGAGCCTGGCTGGGCTGCTGGTACCGCAGCCCCTGCAGGTTTGGTGTGTGACTTGCCCCTGGTCTGCAGCCACAGACAGCGTGCCTCAGGCTCCCTGCCCCTGCCAGCCCACCCGGTACTGTCTAGCCCGCACATGCAGTGGCTGGCGATGTACTGCAGACTTGCTGTGGTGGGGGCAGAGCAGCTGGGCAGGATTGGTGCTCAGGGTTGGGCGCCCTGCTGCAGACTTAGTGTGCAGTACGATCGGGGAACTCCGTGGTCAGGGACTGGGCAGACCTCGATTCCCTTTCAGTGGCTGCAGCTAGGACCAGTTCCACTGCTGGGACGCCCGGGCCCTGCAGGGACAAGTGTAGCTTCGAGCTGCCGGCAGAGCTCGGGGACGAGCTCACGTTACATTCTGCAGGTACCTGTGTGTGTAAGTGCCGCAGCTGGGTAAAGCCAGCCAGGGGCCTGACCAGCCCGCCCCGCTTAGGGCTAGCATTGGACACCACATCGGCCCCCTGCTGAGCTCCGCATAGCCTGGGAGCAGCCCACAGGGGCAGGCGCTGCAGAAATCTCTTTTCGCCGGTGAGTGCAGGCCCGATCCTCGCTGCCAGCGCCAGGCCTGGCCTGGCCTGGCCTGGCCTGCCCCCCTGAACCCTAAACCCCAACCCCCGGGCCGGCCTGGTCCCCCAGGCACCCCATCCCGGGCTGGCCTAGTGTTCCCCACACGACACATGCACACTGAAATGTGGGGCCCCCAAAGCACAGGGCCCGGAACGGTCACCCCAATTTGCCATACTCAAGGGACAGCTTTGGCTGTGGGGCTAGCAGCGTGTGCAGACATCTCTAAGACTTTTGTAAGGCATTTGACATTTTGATTAAAAAGCTAGAACAATACAAAATTAGCATGGCACCTATGGATTAAAAACTGTGTTTCTAGTGGGGTCCTGCAGTGACTGGTATTTAGACTTACTCAAGTTATCTTTTTTATCAGTCACTGGAAGAAAACAAAATATCAGCACTGATAAAGTTTTCAGGTGATGCAAAGTTTGGAGGAGTGGTAAATAATGAAGAGGATGGGCCATTGATACAGAGCAAGCAAACAATATGCAATTTAATACAACTAAATGTAAATAAACAGGAACATCTCCAGTAAGAGTAAAGAGTTTATTTTACTTCTATATTTGGCAGTGGTGTGACCACTGCTGGAATATTACATCCAGTTCTGGTGACCACAATTCAAGAAGGATGTAGATAAATTGGAGAGGGTTCAGAGGAGAGCCATGACAGTGATTAAAGTATTAGAAAACATGCCTTATACTATAGTAATAGACTGAAGGAATTCAGTCTGTTCGGTTTAACAAAAAGAAGGTTAAAGGGTGACTTGATCACAATCTTAAGCACCTACATGGGGAATAAGTATTTGATAATGAGCTTTGCAATCTAGCAGACAAAGCTATAAGATCCAGTGGCTGGAAGTTGAAGCTAGACTGGAAATAATTTTTTAACAGTGAGAGTAATTAATCAGTGGAACAATTTACCAAGCATTGTGGTGTATTGTCCATCACATGCATTTTTTTAAATGAAGATTGGATTCTATGAGATATGCTCTATGAAAAGTTTTGAAAAAAAAGCCCATTTTGAATCCTTCAGAATGAAAACATTTTAAATATTTTGTTTAACTAGATTTTTGATTTTTTTCTAGCACCTCTACATGTTACTATTCCTAGCTCCTCATTAGGCATCAAGAAAAGGGGGGCCTGAAAACAGTGGCTTTTACACAAGATTAAGAGAGACCTACAGGTAGCTCTAAGAAACAAGAGAAGAGACTATAAGAAATCTGGTATGGTCACAAATAAAGACCTCAGACATGATTTTTCTCTGTTCTATAAATTACAAGGAAGGGATTCTTCGGATTTGGGGGATTTTTAGTGTTTGGTGAAATGGATGGGGAAACAATAAAATAAAATGGTTGGATGGCAATATTCTTACTGAAATAGATGAGTGTTTTTAGGCTTCTCATTTGTTTTGAGAGGGATTTGAAAGAAGAGATGGTGAGTTCCCAGCTCACTGAGCTGTCGAGGGAGTTGCAGACATAGGGTATGTCTACACTACGGAATAAGGTCGAATTTATAGAAGTCGGTTTTTTAGAAATCGGTTTTATATATTCGAGTGTGTGTGTCCCCACAGAAAATGCTCTAAGTGCATTAAGTACATTAACTCGGCGGAGCGCTTCCACAGTACCGAGGCTAGAGTCGACTTCCGGAGCGTTGCACTGTGGGTAGCTATCCCACAGTTCCCGCAGTCTCCGCTGCCCATTGGAATTCTGGGTTGAGATCCCAATGCCTGATGGGGCTAAAACATTGTCGCGGGTGGTTCTGGGTACATATCGTCAGGCCCCCCATTCCCTCCCTCCCTCCGTGAAAGCAAGGGCAGACAATCGTTTTGCGCCTTTTTTCCTGAGTTACCTGTGCAGACGCCATACCACGGCAAGCATGGAGCCCGCTCAGGTAACCGTCACCCTATGTCTCCTGGGTGCTGGCAGACGCGGTACGGCTTTGCTGCACAGTAGCAGCAACCCATTGCCTTCTGGCAGCAGACGGTGCAATACGATTGGTAGTCGTCCTCATCGTGTCCGAGGTGCTCCTGGCCACGTCGGCTGGGAGCGCCTGGGCAGACATGGGTGCAGGGACTAAATTTGGAGTGACTTGACCAGGTCATTCTCTTTAGTCCTGCAGTCAGTCCTATTGAACCGTCTTATGGTGAGCAGGCAGGCGATACGGACTGCTAGCAGTCGTACTGTACCATCTTCTGCCAGGCAGGCAAGAGATGAGGATGGCTAGCAGTCGTACTGTACCATCTTCTGCCGAGCAGCCATGAGATGTGGATGGCATGCAGTCCTTCTGCACCGTCTGCTGCCAGCCAAAGATGTAAAAGATAGATGGAGTGGGTCAAAACAAGAAATAGACCAGATTTGTTTTGTACTCATTTGCCTCCTCCCCTGTCTAGGGGACTCATTCCTCTAGGTCACACTGCAGTCACTCACAGAGAAGGTGCAGCGAGATAAATCTAGCCATGTATCAATCAGAAGCCAGGCTAACCTCCTTGTTCCAATAAGAACGATAACTTAGGTGCACCATTTCTTATTGGAACCCTCCGTGAAGTCCTGCCTGAAATACTCCTTGATGTAAAGACACCCCCTTTGTTGATTTTAGCTTCCTGAAGCCAACCCTGTAAGCCGTGTCGTCAGTCGCCCCTCCCTCCGTCAGAGCAACGGCAGACAATCGTTCCGTGCCTTTTTTCTGTGCGGACGCCATACCAAGGCAAGCATGGAGGCCGCTCAGCTCACTTTGGCAATTAGGAGCACATTAAACACCACACGCATTATCCAGCAGTATATGCAGCACCAGAACCTGGCAAAGCGATACCGGGCGAGGAGGTGACGTCAGAGCGGTCATGTGAGTGATCAGGAAATGGACACAGATTTCTCTGAAAGCATGGGCCCTGCCAATGCATGCATCATGGTGCTAATGGGGCAGGTTCATGCTGTGGAACGCCGATTCTGGGCTCGGGAAACAAGCACAGACTGGTGGGACCGCACAGTGTTGCAGGTCTGGGACGATTCCCAGTGGCTGCGAAACTTTCGCATGCGTAAGGGCACTTTCATGGAACTTTGTGACTTGCTTTCCCCTGCCCTGAGGCGCATGAATACCAAGATGAGAGCAGCCTTCACAGTTGAGAAGCGAGTGGCGATAGCCCTGTGGAAGCTTGCAACGCCAGACAGCTACTGGTCAGTTGGGAATCAATTTGGAGTGGGCAAATCTACTGTGGGGGCTGCTGTGATGCAAGTAGCCCACGCAATCAAAGATCTGCTGATATCAAGGGTAGTGACCCTGGGAAATGTGCAGGTCATAGTGGATGGCTTTGCTGCAATGGGATTCCCTAACTGTGGTGGGGCTATAGACGGAACCCATATCCCTATCTTGGCACCGGAGCACCAAGCCACCGAGTACATAAACCACAAGGGGTACTTTTCGATAGTGCTGCAAGCTCTGGTGGATCACAAGGGATGTTTCACCAACATCAACGTGGGATGGCCGGGAAAGGTGCATGATGCTCGCATCTTCAGGAACTCTGGTCTGTTTCAAAAGCTGCAGGAAGGGACTTTATTCCCAGACCAGAAAATAACTGTTGGGGATGTTGAAATGCCTATATGTATCCTTGGGGACCCAGCCTACCCCTTAATGCCATGGCTCATGAAGCCGTACACAGGCAGCCTGGACAGTAGTCAGGAGCTGTTCAACTACAGGCTGAGCAAGTGCAGAATGGTGGTAGCATGTGCATTTGGACGTTTAAAGGCGCGCTGGCGCAGTTAACTGACTCGCTTAGACCTCAGCGAAACCAATATTCCCACTGTTATTACTGCTTGCTGTGTGCTCCACAATATCTGTGAGAGTAAGGGGGAGACATTTATGGCGGGGTGGGAGGTTGAGGCAAATCGCCTGGCTGCTGGTTACGCGCAGCCAGACACCAGGGCGGTTAGAAGAGCACAGGAGGGTGCGGTACACATCAGAGAAGCTTTGAAAACCAGTTTCATGACTGACCAGGCTACGGTGTGAAAGTTCTCTTTGTTTCTCCTTGATGAAACCCCCCGCCCCTTGGTTCACTCTACTTCCCTGTAAGCTAACCATCCGCCCCTCCTCCCTTCAATCACCGCTTGCAGAGGCAATAAAGTCATTGTTGCTTCACATTCATGCATTCTTTATTCATTCATCACACAAATAGGGGGATGACTACCAAGGTAGCCCAGGAGGGGTGGTGGAGGAGGGAAGGAAAATGCCACACAGCACTTTAAGCACAGCACTTTAAAAGTTTACAACTTTAAAATTTATTGAATGCCAGCCTTCTTTTTTTTGGGCAATCCTCTGTGGTGGAGTGGCTGGTTGGCCGGAGGCCCCCCCACCGCGTTCTTGGGCATCTGGGTGTGGAGGCTATGGAACTTGGGGAGGAGGGCGGTTGGTTACAGAGGGGCTGCAGTGGCAGTCTGTGCTCCAGCTGCCTTTGCTGCAGCTCAACCATACACTGGAGCACACTGGTTTGGTCCTGCAGCAGCCTCAGCATTGAATCCTGCCTCCTCTCATCACGCTGCCGCCACATTTGAGCTTCAGCCCTGTCTTCAGCCCACCACTTACTCTCTTCAGCCCGCCACTTACTCTCTTCAGCCCGCCACCTCTCCTCCCGGTCATTTTGTGCTTTCCTGCACTCTGACATTATTTGCCTCCACGCATTCGTCTGTGCTCTGTCACTGTGGGAGGACAGCATGAGCTCGGAGAACATTTCATCGCGAGTGCGTTTTTTTTTCTTTCTAAGCTTCACTAGCTTCTGGGAAGGAGAAGATCCTGTGATCATTGAAACACATGCAGCTGGTGGAGAAAAAAAAAGGGACAGCAGTATTTAAAAAGACACATTTTATAAAACAGTGGCTACACTCTTTCAGGGTAAACCTTGCTGTTAACATTACATACATAGCACATGTGCTTTCGTTACAAGGTCGCATTTTGCCTCCTCCCACTGCGTGACTACCCCCTCAACCTTCCCCCCTCCCTGTGGCTAACAGCGGGGAACATTTCTGTTTAGCCACAGGCAAACAGCCCAGCAGGAATGGGCTCCTCTGAGTGTCCCCTGAAGAAAAGCACTCTATTTCAACCAGGTGACCATGAATTATATCTCACTCTCCTGAGGATAACACAGAGAGATAAAGAACAGATGTTGTTTGAACGCCAGCAAACATACACTGCAATGCTTTGTTCTACAATGATTCCCGAGTACGAGTTACTGGCCTGGAGTGGTAAAGTGTCCTACCATGAAGGACGCAATAAGGCTGCCCTCCCCAGAAACCTTTTGCAAAGGCTTTAGGACTACATCTAGGAGAACCGCAAATGCCAGGGCAAAGTAATCCTTTCACATGCTTGCTTTTAAACCATGTATAGTATTTTAAAAGGTACACTCACCAGAGGTCCCTTCTCCGCCTGCTGGGTCCAGGAGGCAGCCTTGGGTGGGTTCGGGGGGTACTGGCTCCAGGTCTAGGGTGAGAAACAGTTCCTGGCTGTCGGGAAAACCGGTTTCTCCGCTTGCTTGCTGTGAGCTATCTACAACCTCCTCCTCCTCCTCATCTTCTTTGTCCCCAAAACCTGCTTCCGTATTGCCTCCATCTCCATTGAAGGAGTCAAACAACACGGCTGGGGTAGTGGTGGCTGAACCCCCTAAAATGGCATGCAGCTCATCATAGAAGCGACATGTTTGGGGCTCTGACCCAGAGCGGCTGTTCGCCTCTCTGGTTTTCTGGTAGGCTTGCCTCAGCTCCTTCAGTTTCACGCGGCACTGCTTCGGGTCCCTGTTATGGCCTCTGTCCTTCATGCCCTGGGAGATTTTCACAAAGGTTTTGGCATTTCGAAAACTGGAACGGAGTTCTGATAGCACGGATTCCTCTCCCCAAACAGCGATCAGATCCCGTACCTCCCGTTCGGTCCATGCTGGAGCTCTTTGACTCCATCATGGTCACCTGTGCTGATGAGCTCTGCATGGTCACCTGCAGCTTGCCACGCTGGCCAAACAGGAAATGAGATTCAAAAGTTCGCGGTTCTTTTCCTGTCTACCTGGCCAGTGCATCTGAGTTGAGAGTGCTGTCCAGAGCGGTCATAATGGAGCACTCTGGGATAGCTCCCGGAGGCCAATACCATCGAATTGTGTCCACAGTACCCCAAATTCGAGCCGGCAACGTCGATTTAAGCGCTAATCCACTTGTCAGGGGTGGAGTAAGGAAATCGATTTTAAGAGCCCTTTAAGTCGAAATAAAGGGCTTCATTGTGTGGACGGGTGCAGGTTTACATCGATTTAACGCTGCTAAATTTGACCTAAAGTCTTAGTGTAGACCAGGGCATAGAGAGCAGAACTGAAGAAGGCACAAAGACCAGAACAGAGGAGAGATGGTTTGTAACTGCACTGCCCCAGAAGCAGCCCAGAGATGAACTGTGATGCAGAGAGTCAGAATCCCCTGCTGTTCCTTTTTTCTGGGGCACAGGTAAGTTACGTCACCCCTTTTTACTGAGCAGTTTACTCCCAGTTGTGTGCACAGCAAGCTATTCTGGCCAGTGATTGGGAAGTGGATGCAGTATAAGAGCTCCTCTAATTCCCTGCCCCTTCCTTGCACACTTGGTCTCGCGGGGGCGGGGGGTGGGGGGTTGAAAGGGGAGGGCAGGGTGTAGTCCTTGCTCTCCCCCCCAGGGCCAGAGTTACCATCTGAGCAGGTGAGTAGTGAGGGCCTTACTTAGATGGGCAGAGGAATAAGAGGAAATAAGAGCTCTGATAGTGTAGACCAGAGTGAATTATGAAAAGGGGAAGATGCAAATTAGAGTGACTATAAAGAAGAGGTTGCAATAATGAAGGTGGGAGATAGCAAAGGCATGGAGCAATGTTTTTTCCATAGGAACAGAGAGGTAGTGTTTTGGATTTGAGATATGCTTTCAAAAAACAGCTGGCATGGATGTGTGAGAAGGAGAGAGAGAGGAGATAGATTTTCATCTCCAGTTACTAATCTGGGTGGCAGGGATGAGAGTCAAAAACAGTGCAGTGAACGGAAGAGGAGAGACCCAGGAAAGATAAGCTCAGTTTTCCCCAGGTTCAGTCGGCAGTGGGATATCCGGGATATTATATCTGGTAAATCATCGACACAATACTTCAGCTTTTATTAGACTTGTTAAAGTGAACCCATCAGAATTAACAAGTGGACTATTTTAAAATGTAAAACAATGGAATTATGTGACCCATAACCAGAAATATTCCTTGATATTAGCTATTATAACAATGCACGGAGAAGTGTGGGAATGTCCAACAGGAAATTATTTACGTGATAGAAACCTCCCCCTTCAGAGTAAAGAGCATATACCATCCTAACAACATTGTCCTGCCCTGTGATTTGAATAACAGTATGGCAATCCTTCCCTCATTCACACAAAAAGGGTTTATAGTTTTTAATTTTAAACCTTTAATAAATATGCTACACCTTCCTCTTTCAAGTTGAAACTGCTGTATATTGTGGCAAATTACCAGCACTACTTTGATGGGTCTCACGCTTTCTCTTCTTGGGGAGAGTTCAGGAGAGTTTCTCACCCTTGAACTGGGGTATTAACTGCCCCACTAGTGTCCTAGAGGAGGAGAGTGGAGAGGGAGGGACCCGGGCCCGCCCTCTACTCCGGGTCCCAGCCCAGGGGCCCTAGGGTCTTGGTCTTCTTAGCCCACCACAGCACTTCTCCAAACTTTCCTCTACTTCCCTCCAAACTGCTCTCTGCTCCAACACCAATCCACTCTGCTTCAACTCCTCCAAACTGCTCTCTACTCCAACATCAATCCACTCTGCTTCAGCTCCTCCAAACTGCTCTTTAATTCAACATCAATCCACTCTGCTTCAACTCCTTCCCTTGTCTGATTGAAGCAGGGTTTTTTTATCAGGTGACTGGCTTCCGGTGCTTTAATTGGCTTCTGGTGCTTTAATTGGCTTCAGGTGCTTTAATTAATCTATAGCAGACTTTCTTCCCTGTACAGGGAATAAGGCTCCCTTCTAACACTCTCCTGCTGCCCTCTGGCTATGCTGTATCACAATATGCAACGACCTTGCCAACCTCTTCTGAAATTTATCCACCTCTTATGGCAAAGAGCATGTCTCTCACCATAGTGTTACTGCATAGCCACCTTTTTGGCTCTCAAATAGCAATGATTCTTCTTCTTATGTTAATGCAATATGGGTCTGATCCAAAGCTTACTGAAGTGAATAAAGTCAGCGGGACATTCCATTTGCTTCAGTGAGCTTTGGATGAAGCTCTATCTACAGAAGGACCTTGGTGCCTAACTGCCACTTTAAGTGCCCCAGTCCAACATTAAGGTACCAGACCTCAGAACTCTCACTCAGCTGCTGCATTTTCCTGGAAGGTCCTAGGTGCCTAAGTTTCTACCAGTGACCATGCCCATAACTGCCTCAGTCTTGGCATTTGGGCACCTGTCTCACACCTATGTCTTGGTGGGATCCTCAAACTAGGCATTCCTCCACCTGTCTTGCGTGCGTGGCCTGGTTCAGTAAACATTCGCAGAGCGTGATTAAACTCACAGTAGAAGGAGGAGGTGCCTTATACCTTTTAGACCAGTGATCAGAGCACTCATCCAGGACGTGGGACACATCGGTTCAATTCCCCCTTCTGCCTGATATAGAGAAAGGGATTTGACTTTGGGTCTCCCTTCTCCCAGAACAGTGCCCTAGCCATTCCGCTAAGGGACATACAGGGGCAGGTTTCTCTCAGTCTCTCCTGTGGAAGCTTTTCCACTCTGTATAAATAACTAAATATTCATTGGAGCAGGGAGAGTGGAACCTGGGTCTCCTACACCCCAGTTGAGAGCCCAATCTACTCTCCCTGCTATAGAGTCACTAGGCTATAGACCTCAATGAATATTTAATTAAATTAGTTACTTAAACCGGAACACATCCTAGAATTAAGTAGAATATAATCATAGAATTGTAGGACTGGAAAGGACCTCACAAGATCATGTAGCCCAGTCCCCTGCACTCATGGCAGGACTAAATATTATCTAGATCATCCCTGACAGGTATTTGTCAAACCTGCTCTTAAAAATCTCGAATGATGGAGATTCCACAACCTCCCTAGGCAATTTATTCCAGTGCTTAATCACCCTGACAGTTAGGAAGTTTTTCCTAATGCCTAATCTAAACCTCCCTTGCTGCAATTTAAGCCCATTGCTTCTTGTCCAATCCTCAGAGATTAAGAACAATTTTCCCCCCCCTCCTCCTTCTAACAATCTGTTATGTACTTGAAAACTTATCCTGTCCACTCTCAGTCTTCTCTTCTCCAGACTAAACAAACCCAATTTTTTCAGTCTTCCCTCATAGGTCATGTTTTCTAGACCTTTAATCATTTTTATTATTGTTGTTGATTCCATGCACAATATCACAGGCCTGTTTAGACTGATTGAATGTAGAACTCTGTTGCATTACACATTGTGGACTGACTTTTTGCAAATGTATGTAATCCACCTAGCAGTTACATTTAGAATTGGCACAGAATGAGCCATTGCCAGTTCAAACAAACTTGGTAACAGCAGGGAGGCAATAGCTTAACTTAGTTCTATGTAATAGAAAAGATGAATACATATTCATAAATTGAGTAAAAAGTCTTCTGAACTTTCTTTGGAGTCTTCTAGCTCAAAATTGAGGTCAGACCATTCTTCTAGTGTGAATGGGTACAGGCAGGTAATACAAGGTTGGGCAAATTGTATCAAGAAGGCACTGTTATTAATTTGGCATACCTGTAAAACAATTTTGGTCTGGATGACAATCAAAGCCCAGAGATTTGCATTAATAAACCGAATGTCTCTGTCAAACCCTTAGGACAACTCTTTGGTATCATCACAAACTCTTTGGTATCATCATGTACACAGAAAGCTAGATATCATCTATCATTTATTCATTAGATTGGAAAATCTAATGCATTCTTTTGATTCCCCTAGGGTAAAATGGGAGCGTGAACTATACTCATTTTTACGACAACCAGTGGGTACAAATTCTCCATTTTGCTCAGAGGACAGAGAGGGAAGTAGATTTAAAATTGCTGCATTGTCAAATGCTGCAGGGAATTTGCTGGACTCTTCATATACATAGATGTGGGATTGGTTGTCTTTGGAGATGTGACAGGTCAGGTGGCAATCTTACCCACCTTTGTTTTTATTCCAAAGTTAATAATTTCTGAAAGGAGTTCATAATTATTATTTACACTGAGTATCAAGTGCTGTATGTTCAGGGAATGATACCAAACAAACAAGTCACTGCCCTGAAGAGCAAAAGCATATGCAAGACAGTACAAGACAAGACAACAGAAACACAGGATAGTATATGGTCATTGTAGAATGCTGTGACTCACCAGACAAGTATGGGTTTTTGTTAGATAGTTGATGGAGCAGAGTGAGGGATTTGCTAAATATTTATTGAGTTTGTTCCAGGCATATTGTGTGACGTTCCTAAAGGCCCAACATTAGGAGTGAACAAAGGAGATGATGTGGGGTGGTGAAGAGGAAAGTTTTGCCGGAGCAAAGGGTTGTAGGAGGAGAGATGTGGGCAGGAATGGGGTAACTTATGAAGATCTTTGAAAGTGAGAAGGATAAACTTAAATCTCAATATAGGAGAAGAGGTGAGACAGAGTGGCAGAAAGGAAGATGATTTTGGGAGCTGTGTTTCAGGTAGAACTGATTTGGGAGGGTTGAGACAGTCAAGGGCCAGAGAGATGGAGTGTGCATGGCTCAAGATGTTGTCTTGGCAGTGAGGATGGAGAAGCTGGAACACAGTTTAGAGATGCTGAAAGTGGAGAAATGGTAGGGTCTGGATGTGACAGAAGGATTGTGACAATTCCAAAATGGCAATGTTGTGAGGTTTTTGTGATAGAAAGGCTGGTGGTGCTAGCAAAAGTGATTAAGAAAAGGGCTGGGGAAGAGAA